AAAGGTTAGATTATGCAGAAAAGTTGAAAAATTGGTGGAATTCCCCTTTAAGCCAATCCCACATGTAACCCCTACAGGCAGCATCCAAAATACTGTCAGGGCATTTGATTTGGAAGTGAAAGAATGTAGAAGTCTATGCCCTACACAGTTAAAAAATATGGTTCTTCAAGTTTCTTTAGTAAAGAAAATGGTTCTATATAGAACCATGAATACTCAAAGAACCCTTTGCATGATTAAAGGGTTCTTTGTATCATGAAAGGGTTCTTCAGACTGATGGAGAATGTGCTGTAGATGGTTCGAACAGCGTTCTATATAGCACCAAAAAGGGTTCTTATATTGTAACAAGCCTGACATCATTACATTAGTAGAACCCTGTTGGGTACTATGTAGAACCCTTTCAAAAAGGTTCTTTAAAGAACCATTTATAGCACATTCTCCATCAGTCTGAAGAACCCTTTCACCATGCAAAGAACCCTTTAATCATGGTTTTCATTGTAAAAGCCCAAAGTATTATATACCACTGTTGTCGGAAGAAAAAAATCTCCAAAATGAGAACTTTAGAGGAGAAGGAAAAAACTTACTTCACTTTTAATGTAAGTCAGTGGAACCAGATTTTTGTTCCTATTCATTTTGGGGCATTTCTTTTGGCCCATTCATCATGAATGAAACATACAATGTAAAGGGCAACAGGCATTTTCAAATCATGTCAAAAACTAGAAAACATCAAAAATGGAGACACAACGTTTTCTTCTGACAACAGCGATATATAATATACTATTATATCAGCCTCTCTAACTCCTCCAGGAATGGAGGGACAATGGTGCTACTGGCTTGTCCTTTTATCCTAGGGGCTGAACGCTGTAAAAGGTCATATTCTGAAGCCTGAAGCCAGAGCGCTGATCGCAGTTCATTAGGGCACCACCAGGCTGGTGTTAGAGTGACAGTAATGAATGTGGCACTGGGCTCCAGCCAATCTGTATGATAATGCACTGGACATTTGAACAATCATATGTAGGGCTAACAGTGAGGTTATTAGTAATGGGGTCAAGAAAGCTCAGTGACCCAGAAGGATATAAGGAAGGCGTGTTTCTGTACCAAAGCTCGGCACTGTATGTTATTTTTTTTCCCACTTGCATTCTGTTAAGTCTATAAGATGAGGGTGGATCCTTCTAGCCAATCTCAAGGCAGGGGGTGGAGTTTATTGGAATCTGGGTGGGGAAAAGAGACTAGTTTATAGGGATGAAGGAGGATAAAACCTGCACATCTTTATGCACAGTGGCTAGTGGGGCATCATCATTCTCAGCTTCTAGAAATCTCTTGAAAATAGGCTCTTTGGGTGCCAATCCCTGGATTCAGAAAACAACGGTAAGCTGCTTTATTTGAGATTTAAAATGTAGCCAACGTAGACAGAGCTTAACCTTATTGTAAATTGAAGATAATAAATGTGCAATAAAACTCAAACAGAATTGTTGAGCTTACTTTAAAGGCCAAGGCTTCCCAAGCTGTGGTCCAGGAGGGCCGGATCAATTTGGTGACTGCCCTCCTCTAATACTGCTAATGCAGCTCTACAACTAGTGACAGTTTTTTAATTTCAGTAGGGAAATCACCAAACTGTGCTGGACTCTGGCTCAGGACTGTGGTTGGGCTCTCATACTTGTGGCTATTTACATTCCTTAGGGTCCAGAAGAAATGAGCAGTGGCTGGACGATGATTGCTGACATGCTGCCGAGTATTTACACCTGCTGCGATGTTCCAGCAGGTGCAGTTTTTGGGCCGTGTGACACCCAGCACACCTTACTAGAGGACAGCATTGCCTTTATAGCCCTCAGGTGCTCGGACAGGCGTGCAACAGCTTACGCATACCAGGTCAGGTTGCACTTTATTTAATAAATGCTTTAGATTTAGAGGCCAACTTAGATTAACCAATGGTGAGATAACATTAGAATCTGAGCTTTGGTGCTGTCATTACTGGAATTTTACTGAGATTGACCAGTTAAGGAAAGGTCACTGACTTATATATTGACATATTTACAGTAGGCAACACTAAATGTAATTCATAAATGTAGAAAATGATCATTTGGATTGAAGAATTGAAGAAGCTGATCATTTGGTAATGCTGTATTTTGTCTGTTATACAGTTTTATGCAACAGTTTGGGCGCCCCTGGTCAAATTTTATGTTTTGTTGACCTCAGTGAAAACAAGTAAACACATCCTCTACAGTGAACACACTTCTGCACATTTTATGGCACAATTTTTTAATTTATTTTATTTTATTTTGTTTTTTTTTCCAATTTTTTTTAAATTCAGGAAATAAAAGGAAATTGTGTATTAAATTGTGCAGAAATGTGTCCTCTTTAGAGGATGTGTTAACTTAATTTCACTTAGAAAATCAACAAAACATGAAATTTGACCAGGGGTGTTCAAACTTTTCCATACGACTTTCCAAGTGGGACTATTTTATATCTGATGTTACTATTTTGTGTCTTTTTCATATATCACAGGTGGACACATCAGTGCCCACTGTCTCTGTAGAGGGTCTAGTTTGGCTGCGGCTGGTGCGGTCAGCCCGGAACACAGAGGAACAGAATTTGGAGGCTTATGTGAAAGACGGCCGTCTGTTTTATAGAGCCCTGAAAAACATCTCCAAGAAGACAGAGCTTCTGGTCTGGTATGGGAAAGATCTGGCCGAGCTGCTGAGCCTTGCATGCACGCAGAAGAGTAATAAAGGTAGCTATGGCAAACTATTACATGTAACATATTGTATATGGCATTCACTCATAGATGAGCATCTTTATATGACACCAAAAAGTCTTAAAACCACAAATTTTTTTTAGGTTACAAGTGCTTTTATTGCCAACGGAGCTTTCTGTTTGAATTCCCTGTACTGGCTCATCAGAGATTCCTCTGCACTGAAAGACCAACCAGATTCAACAGCAAGTCAGGCAAACCTTCCATGGATTTCCACAGTTTGGCCAGGAACCTGGAGAACTGTCCATTGAGGGACAGTGGCAGTGGCAGTATCGCTAAAAGGAGACACTCTGTGGAGTCAGACGAAAGTGATGAAGAGAGTCTATTTTCTGGTGTGCACGCTCTTCCTCTATATAAAAGGAGTAGTGCTATGTTAGTAAAAAGGTTTTCATCCGCCTCCAGCAGTCAGTCTGGTAGCAGCGAGATCAGCATGACCAATGAAGGTGGACATTCTTTGCACTGGGCAACGCGCAGCCATGACAACTACCATGCCAACCTAGAAGCTCTGGACTCCAAGGCCAAGAAAAGTCCAACTAGGGCCCAAGCTAGAGGGTTACATTTAGCCACAACTGCCTCACATCAAGAGGAGAAAAGTGCCTTCATCCAACCTCCACGATCCACAACTAATCTGGCAATGACAACCAGATTCAGCCTTGGAATCACTTCTGTGAGGAACACAACTACATTTCCCAGCATTCTCACTCAAACTGCTGCTGCCAAGGTAACTAAACCCCAGGCTTTGGCACTCTTCAGCGGAGGTCTTATCAAACAACAGGCTCTTGTTTATGAATCAGGGCTGTGGTCCAAGCACCCAAAACTCCCCCAGGCCCAAAGCAGCCCTGAATGGCCTCTCTTACCCGCTGCTCTCTCTCCACTGGGCCTGCCTGCACAAAACTGGTGCGCTAAATGCAGCATCTCCTTCCACATGACATCAGACCTGGTGCAGCACATGAGGTCCCACCACAAGAGGTCTGCAGAGCAGTTGAGGGAGCACAGTGAGGAAAGACTGAGGTGTCCCATCTGTGATGAAGCCTTTAGAGAACGTCATCACCTCTCGCGCCACATGAGCTCTCATGCCAAGGGCACATCATGAATAAACCTTTTATGCTAGGCATAGTATTCTGTTGTTAGTCTTAAAGGGGAATTTCACTGACTTTTCAAAATGCCTTAATAACTCAATCATGTAGATGTGAACCAAGTCACTCAGAGTGGTTTGGTGTGAAGTGCTTCATTCTAGAGTAACTTGAGTCAGATTCTCCACAGTGGCGGTGATTGGAACCAAACATCTAAAGAGTTTAATGCCTCTAAAAGCTCCCTCACAGAAAACTATTATATGAAATGGTTATGAACACGAGTTACACTGTTACAATAGCCGCCACTGTAAAGAAAGTTTCTCTGAACCAATTTCACAACAAACCACTCTGAATGACTTTTTTTTACATCTCATCGATTAAATTATACAGAAATTCTGAAAAGTTTGTTGATTTGTCCTTTTAAAGGGCCCATATCATGGAAACAGCATTTTTCTCACTTTTTAGAAATAAGACTTTGATCCAGTAAAAACTGTAAAAAAAAAATTAATAATTGTCAGATGAACACAATTTAAAAAGATGGTTCTTCAAGGGTTCTTTATTAAAGAAAATCGTTCTATATAGAACCATGAACACTCAAAGAACCCTTTGCATCATTAAGGATTTCTCCGGATTGATGGAGAATGTGTTTTTTATGATTCTATAGAGAACCGTTTTGAAAAGGGTTCTATATAGCACCAAACAGTGTTCTTCTATTGTTACAGCCTTGAAATAGTAAATAGTTGGTGCTATGTAGGACCCTTTTCAAAAAGGTTCTATATATAGAACCGCATATCAATCCGAAGAATACTTGATGCAAAGAACCCTTTAATCAATCAAAGGGTTCTGTGAGTGTTCGTGGTTCTATGTAGAACCATTTTCTTTACTAAAGAACCCTTGAAAAACAGCCTGTTTTGAACTCACGGTTTTCTGAAGTCACAAATAGCATTTACATCTATAAAAAAACATCATATAAAAATGATGAATAATGGTTTGGTTGAGGTGAAAAAAGACCACAGGGAAAAAAATAAAATACAAGAAAAATGTAGGATATGGGCCTTTTAAGGCTTATTACCCAGTACCTACGATGAACTACTTGAATCTACAGTGAGACATACATAGTTCCCACCTGTTCTTAGGGTTTAAGGGGATAAAATAAGCATTTAATATTTTTGTAGTGTACTGATTCTGCATTGTTTATCACGTAGTGCATTGGTTTATAGCATAGAACCAATTTAAATCTGATGCTGTTTAAATACCACTAGAATTTTATTTCCAATAAAATCTTTTTTATAGGCGTGGTTGTTTAGTTCATGTATAAACAGTAGTGGATTATTAAACCCAGTGCATCCATTCGCAATCACACGAGTAAAGAAAAAGAAAATTACTTTGGGATCCACTGGCGTCTTTTGTTGAACACTTTAGTTCAAAAACCCATGAATCACATTTTGCAACTCATTCAAAATGAGCTATTGATGAAATTTCTTTTGCTGTACTGTGGCTAACATAAGAAAAACAAACCTGCTTGTGTTCAAAGTGGTTTCCTGCAGTAACAGTGCAGTTTTGGACACTAGGTGGTGCTAAAGGACCAGTTATAAAGTAAAACTAATGTTACAAAGTAAATGCAGCGAAAATTATATATTGCTGCAAAAAAATGCTTTAAAAGCACTGCAAATATTATAGGAACATAAAACAAAGAAAATGACACTGAAGACACAAAATCCATGGACGTGGTTATGTTAAAGTTTCTTTATAAGGCAACGTTCTGACTATAAACTTACATCAAGTCACCAAAAACATATAAAAACAATTATATGATACTGTCATACACACAAAAACTAGAGTTACTTTTTACAAGTACAAAAAAAGAACACAAGTAAGCTTACACAGCATAACGGAAGAGGTCAGCCAGCGACACATTCTTCATTCCTCCAGGAAAAGATATGCTTATGACACATAAGATGAAGCTTATTCAGATCGTTTCACATGAGGTACAAGATGAGTAGGTTTCCTTTAACATAATGATGGTGTCGTGATGAGAATCCAGTCTCATATACATCAACACGAGGGAGAAGTTCATACAGAAGTCTTTATACAAAGTCTTTCTTCAGTGTGCAGCTCCTGCATCAGAGTGCAGTCTTTCAGTTTAGAGTGCGCAGAGTTCACTCAGGGCAGACGCTTTCAAAATCAGCAATCACATCCTGCTGAGAGACGACCTACAATACAGACAAAACTAAAATGAGAAAACAGTTTGACTTTTGCCCTATGAAAGTCTTAAATGGTGCAGCTAAAGCGATTATCCATTATTGATTAGGGTTGGGTATCAAAATTCAATCATTTTATAGTACAGATTGAATTACCTAATGATATTGCATTTCCAGAATTCTGCATAATTTAATATCAAATTTCAATACCTAAATAGTCAAGTCTTGTCAGCATCTGTGAGTCAATAAGAATGCTTGTTCCAAAATCTGCTGACTGACTTTCTAAATCACATTCTATAAACATGTGATTAACATCAGTGATTCTACAGCTAACATTCAGTCTGTAATTTAAAAGAAGTAATTGAAAAAACTACTGTTCAGGAATCAAAGTCAAGGTAGCAGAACTTTTACTTTTTTCAGGATTGAGTGTAGAACAGCTCTAAGGTAGGCTGTTACCTGAGTGAGCGGCGGGTGTCTCTCTCCAGGTTGTTCTCTGGACCTTCACTCTCGTAGGAGGCCAGTTGTAGCTCTAACAAAGTCAGAAAACCAGCTGGTCAGAACCAACAAACAGAAAATACTGGAACAAGTCTCACACTATCAAAAGTAGGATGTTGATTTCAATAAAATAGCCAAATATATGTACACTGCTGCTTGAAAGGTTGTGTACCCTTTCATTTTGAGAATTTCTACAAAAATGTTGCCTGAAATATAATCAGATTATCGTTTAACTTACAGATAAAGAGGACCCAATTAAACAAACACAAAACACTATATAGTTTCTCATTCTCAACATAATAAACCCAAAGTTAACAAGAAAGTTATAGCTCAAGACATTTTTTAAATTTTGTTTTTCATAAATGCCTTGTTTTTACTTGCTTGTATGATTAGTTTAACTGATACTGATTTTTTCTTTTGTTATTTTTATTATTAATGCTATTACCCATTTAACTTTTATTACTATTATTTCTATCATCTTTTTGCCTTCAATTATTGTTGACTATTGTATTGTTTTATATTGTGCTACACAAATAAAGCTTATTATTTTTATTAAAATGTTCCAAACTATCCATTAGCCAGTCTGCTTTACAGTTTTCCTGTATGTAGTACTGTAAAGAAAACCTGTTCATCACTGCAAGTCTCTGGACACTCACCATCCTCTGTGAAGACTGAGACACTGATGAGATACTGCAGTGTTTTTCTGTCCCTCTCAAACGGGCAGATCACCTGCCTCCACGACAGAAACTCACTCACTTGTTTGGCCAGCTCCCAGAATTTCTGTCACCAAATCGAAAAAGCAGTTTGGTAACTATGGAAACTGGGTGACTATAAAATCATAATAGCAGCTAAGTTTTTTTCATGCCAAAAATATCCACACCTCAGACGCTATAAATAAAGGATCTGTTCAAACTTCGAAACTGCTCTGTAAAACCTGCTTACCTCAAAATTGATGTGTCCGTTTGGCAGTCGGCTGGCGCAGCCCTCGTTAAGGAAGTAGATGTCCTTAATGAACAAACTGAAGAATGGAATAACAATCTGAAGGAAAGAGATTAGAATCTATGTGTGAGTTTTAACGCTAAGATTTTTCCCCAAAAAATGTATGTATGGACTGGCGAGTGAACAGCCCCCTTTATAACAATGTTTACATATGAACAAGCTCTTTATAAAATTGAGAAAAATTTGTTTTTCCATGATATGGGCCCTTTAAACAAACACTGCACACACAGTAGTCACAATCCTATAAATCATGTTCACAGATATAATTTTTTTTATTTGTTCACTGAGGATAACATTTTAAGGCTTGTTTCCTAACATCATTTATCTTCACCAAACTGGACTAAACATTAGATGCCATAAGTTAGATGAATTATTGTAGTCTATTTAATTCTTGAATAGACATGTACATTTATTCACATTTAGACTAAGTTTGTATGTAACAGACAAATCAATTGTTTTCCAATGACCTTAATCTTCACTGAGCTGGTTTAAAAATAAATGTTTTATTTTGGGTGCAACCAAGAGCTGTATGAGAGAGACACAGAACTAATTTACCTTCTCTCTGGCAGTGTGAGCCGTAGCGGACCTCTGCGTAGCTCCTCGCAGTGCAGTGCGGTAGTTGTAGAAGTTATTGGATGGATCCATTTGATGCTATCAAAAAGACAACAATAAACTTTTTATTAAACATTTTGATCTTTGTACTTCAGAACACAAAAGTCTGTCTCTTTTTCATTCTGTCTTACCTCTAGGATTTCGAACTTGTCCGTGTTGACTTTGCCCCAGGTCTTCTTCAGCCTGGACACAGGGTTCATGTTCATCCCAGCTGTTGAGTGAAAGACCATTAAATGAGTTTAATCGATAATTCTGGTTCTAAATTCTGAAGCCAGACTGAAAGCCTTTGTAAAATATACAAATAACACAACTGTTAATAGAGGTGGGTAATCAAGGTCCTCCCCAGGATTTTGTTCCAACTGCTTGTCCTCTCTCGTTTGCCCAAACCGGCAGCAATGGTGTTCAGGTTGTTGGAACAAAATCCTGAGGAGGGTTTTTACTTTCTGGACTTGGCAACAATAACTTACTGTTAACAAACTACACTACTTGTCGCTCTATGTAATTAATGTTAATAAAAAATTCAATTATTTATTGAACACTGATTATTTTATCACTGCAATAATTCACTCATTGTTGTGGGGTGTAGTGGTCTTAAGGCCTTTATATGTCGGACATGATGAAAAAAGATGAAAATTATAAATATTTGGACACCATCAAAACTTTACACACTGGATATGATATGATTTTTTTAGAATTGCGCCATGCTGTTTGTGCCGCCACAAAACATAATGTTGCTCCTAACAAAACGGGCAATTTGTGACACTGGAATTTTTTCAATTTTGCAAAAATTAAAGAAACGGGGAGAGCTGTAACTTCTTGAGTTCTTCCACATGTAACTCAGATGTCCGTAACCCAGTCTGAGCTCCATTTGTGCTGGTTGTAGAGAGGTTTACATCATCTGTGAAATAGCAGAAGGCAAACTAATCCCTTTAACGTTAGTGGAAAAGTTCTAGTTGCTCGAACACATTTGATTCATCAGCTTGGCTTTCACCATTCCAAGCCACAGACAACTGTGACTGGTCAGTGAGTTTACGTTGTCTGTGGAAGTTCGCAGAAATCAAGAAGAGGAAGAACAAAATAATGCTGCATGTTCACCTTCCAATAAAATCGCATTTGGTGTGTGGTGGGAAATTTGAGCACTCAAATTATTTTACTGACAAATAAATCATGGCCAGTGTGTAAAGGCCTTCACTCCATAACTACTAAAGCACTTAACTGCACTTCACTTTAAAGCACAGCCTTTTATGGCTAACTGCATTTAAAAGCATTATAACATGTTAAATAACAAAGCATGAACTCACTAATAATGGCCATCAGAGAGTTGAAGTTGCCGATGTTGAAGCATTCCCGTGCCACATCGATGAAAAACTCCAAGACCCGAGCTCTGTGTTTCTTCTTTATTGGCTAAAAGATACAAACAGCCACCAGAGGGCAGCATAGTGTTAGCAACAGCAGAAGAGAAAAGGAAGGGGAGACGTTTGAGGCTAAAATGGGGTAAAATGAGAACTAATTTTTGGTGAAACACGGAATATAAATCTAATTTTAAACTAATCCAGTACATCACTGTAACACAGTCGTGTAATAAATGTACAACACTGGAAGATTTGAGCTATAAATACCCCATTAATTACGGTTATGCTTTTGTTCTCAGAATAGACCAGAAGTGCTCTCACCAAGCAGATTTCAGTGGCCACCAGATAACTCAGCCGATTGAACCACTCGATATATGCCTCAAAATTACTTGCTCTTCTTTTGCTGAAGAAACTCTGTGGACAAAATTTTCCACGTTAAGTTGTACAAACAGCAATTGCGGCAGTTACATAAATAACGACGAATGATTAGAGCAAATCAACCGTTTTTTCCACATTTAGCCACCAGGTCATGTGGTCTTATGTCATGTAGAAATCATTTAGAACTAGTTCAGTGAGTCACTCGCAACCCATTTAGCGGTCTCTTACATAACACAAGGTCAGAGGGGCTGGGTGAAATGCTCACCTTATGATTGTCGGAGGGTCTTTTCTGAGCGAACGCCTGGACAAACTCCTCAGGGCCAATGTAACTGAGTCTCTCCTGTCATTTAACAACATCAGAGTTGGTCAGATAAAAACGTAACACTTCAACAATCTCATATACATTAGGATATACAATAGTCCAATACAATCATATAAAGTAAACTACTGTTAGCATGGCCCCTTAGAAAGGCAGTGCTATTCACACCTGCCTTATCACACTGAGAAGCTGTGCAGAGCATTAAGAACCATGATGGTAACAGTCAGAGCACAGTTTATCTGCAAATCCCACACAACTGCAAAACAACTGACGGCAACTACGGCTGGGCAATACGACAAAACATAAATATGAAAAATGATCAATAATTATCATATACATTTTCTAATGCTTAATTTTAAAGGGCCCACATCCCTTTCCTTGCATTTTATTTTTCTCACTCTCTATCTTTTTTGTCTAAGAATCAAGCAAGCATCTTTTGTTACTGTGCCTTTAAGACTGACCTACGTAAATAAATCTCTGTTCTGATTGGCTGCCTTCAGAACGGGCCTGTTTTGAATTCATTGTTTCTGTGATGTCACAAGAACCAACTCATCTACATATATTCACCCACTCAGCCTACAGCAGTTTAGCACCACCCATTTACACTGAAGTCATAAATAGTGTTTCCTCTCTGAGTGCTTTCAAATGAGGTACAACAGCCAATCAGATCAGAGCTCATTTATCATGCACCTGTCTTAAAGGCACAGCAACAAAATCTCTACACTCTAAGCAAAGAAGTGTTCTATATAGTACCAAAAAGGGTTCTCTGGCTTGTAACAATAGTGGAACCTTTTTGGTGCTATATAGAACCCTTTGCAAAATGTTCAATATAGAACCATCTACAGCACATTCTCCACTCTGAAATCTGAAAAACCCTTTTATGATGCAAAGAACTCTTTAATCAAGCATAGGGTTTTCTGAGTGTCCATGGTTCTATATAGAACCATTTTATTTACAAAAGGACACCTGAAGAACCACCATTTTTTGAGTGTCCACCAAACTCTTTTATTTAAAATAAACAAGAAAAATTAAGTTTCCCTTTAAGTCTGAACATAATGAACCCACAATAAAACAAAAAGCTTATTGTCATGCTGTTCAAAGTTTAAGCATTTCCTGCTAATAACGAAGAACAGAACAGCACAATCAATTACAAATACTTCAAATATACATTATGGATATTGAAAATACTCAATGTTTTACTGAATAATTTGCACTGTTGCTTTATTGCCCAGGGCCCACTGCCAACACAAAACTACAAGCATAGTGTAAAAGCTGAAAACCACAAGAAATTAAGAGGCATCCCTCACTCACCATCTCGATGTGTGTGAGCTGCTGGGCGAGGATGAAGGGGTCATCACAGACGTTCAGAACACACTCCTCCCTGCGCACCACATGCTGCTTAGCCTTCAGACCACCCGGTTTCTCCACTGCCGCTGCGGCCGCTGTGCTGGACGTCACCAGAGATTCTTCGTACTGTCCCAGGATGGTCAGCTTGCGTAAGAGCCGCTGGATCAGTCTCTGCATGGCTCTCCGGGACAGCTGTTCAACATCAGGAAAAGGGAAGTCAAAAGTCAGTCCAAATCTTATTCACTGTCTGCTAGCATACTGACACTCTTTACTCTGACATTCCCATGCTTGCTTAAGCCAAATGAAAGCCTGAACCACAAGAGTAATGAGAATACTTATGACACTGACGTATGAGGAAAATGAGGTCCATCTACAAAACTTCAGAGTGAAGTAAGGCTGCACTGCAAGTGCAAAAGACTAGTATTCTGAATCTGTCCAAAAGCATCCAGGTGACCTTCTTAATTTGTGATTTTACTTTAAGGTACAACCATTGCTGACAACTATGATCAACTACAAACTATGCTAGAAATGCACTGCCAATAGGACTGTGATGCTCTGGAGCAGCCACACATGAGCCTTACTTCACCATACCCAATGCTAAGCATCAGCCAGTTGGAGTAGGACAGAATGATTAACTGTTTTTATATTTTCAATTTTCAAATCACAAGAGCTGCAATTTTAATGATCTCCTACATTATTCAACAGGTTTTAAGTGGGGAAGCTGCCTAATAAGCACAGTTTGTGAACTGGCATACTACAAGTCTCACGTCCAAACAAATACATGTGCTGGTCTTTCTAGGAGAAAAAGGTCTGGCATTTAAATTATAGAAAGTAATTGCAACTAAATTGCAATTGCAATATTTGTCAGAAAATTCTGTTAGATATTTTCCCCAAATTGTTTAGCCCGAAAACTGGAGTGGTACTTGTGATCCAGAACTGATCAGGGTAAAAAATACCCTTGATTTCAGAAGAAATGTTAGATGAGCAGTTGTCTACAAACTTTTGGACATACATAGAGTAAATCTGCTTTGCACTATATATAAAACACACTAGCCTGGGTAATTTTGACCAACATAATCAGAAGAATACTTTGATTAATTATTTACCCAATATAAAACCCTTCATTAGTTAAATCAGGTTTGAGTAGGGAAAATATTAAAGCTGTAAGACAGAACAGAACAGAACATACCCCCCTCCCCTTCACTAACTCCAACTTAATATTTATGATATATGGAAGTATCTGAAATTTGTCAAGCCCATCATTCTGGTCATATCTTCAGATATTACAACGAGAAAGGTACTGCATTTCTGTTATCTATGTGTAGATGTTTTCCTTGTCAAATGTACGCTTTCCTTAATTCAAAATGGTCCAGATTCAGTGCACTGAGTTTTATCACTTCATTCTCACGTGGCAGCACCATCAGCCTACAGAAGTGAAGGCTGCACTCTCAACCTCTGAATCATAAAAAGTATGCTGCTGTAATCTCTTCACATTGCTGTCCATGCAACAGCAGTGAGTACCCGAACACATTCAGAGAAAAATGCAGCATGTTTGACTCTAACGCACGCTCATGCAGGCACCTGATTGGCTGGTACAGTATGTCGCCTAGTGACAGATCAAAGAGAGGCCTTGAGTCCATATAAGCAGAAAGCAGAATGAAAAGGCAATGATGTCACCAGCTGTAGTGACGACCAGTGATAGTATCAGAAGGATGACATCATCCCCACTGGCCAGTCAATGCTGAACAAAAGGGGTGCTGCTGACCTCATCTCCAAAGGCCAGCCGGTGGGTCATCTCTTTCAGGCTGCGCATCATGCGCTCATCCCTGAAGTCGTATGGAAAAGTCTCTGTCCATTCTGTCAGCAGCTGCACAATCTTTGGAGCGATGTCCCGGATCCGTTTCTGTCAATCAAGGAGGGAGCGTTTTACAACTCTGAACAATTTGTAGCGTACCATTAATGTGTACCCTGGCAAACAGGGTAGGAATGTTGTTATGTAATTCAACTGTAAAACGTAGTCTGTTACACTGAACAACATCAGACTGTAACACCACTGAAACAATCACTAAAATCTGAGCTTTTCTAAAACACAGTCCACTGCCACTTTAGTTTTAAAGTCAAACAGTATGTAGAAAATTGCAAAAGTTTCATTTATTTATTATTATTTTTCATTTTATTTTAATTTTAAAATCACTTAATTTTTATGCGTAACACAAATCTTTTTGAGACACACGAACCTGTCAGTATTTTAACCAAATTTATCATAAACATAAAAAGGGATGTCTTTTACAGTGGTCCTTTTTCCTTTAATGTATCAATAAAACAGGCAATAACATTTTATGTTTCTGTAACACCACTGACAAAAAATCTTTGGACAAGATTTATTATTGAAATGAAAGTATACTCACATATTTATAATCATTTTAATGTGCATTTTAAATAATTGTAATGCACTTTTACAATTCAAACTCACAAACAAGCATCAAAACTATTGTCGCATCTAAAAAGCATGAAAATGTAAAAAGTATTCAAAAAGAAGAAGAAATATAGTGTTGTTGGGTAACTTGGTTTTGTTAGTTAGCATAAAAAATACACACATCTTTCTGTATTTTATTATTATGATTATTATTATTATTATTATGAGCTCAATTTCAAGAGTTCTGTTTCACAGGCTAAATAAGTATAAAGTATAATGTGTAAATGCCTTTGTTCTGTAAGTACACTACATTACATTACAGTATAATGGGTTAACACTATAGTATACTCAATAAAATTAATGAAATCTAGTTATAACATGGTGCTATATTTACAGCACATACCTTATCGATCTGTGGGTCGCCCACTCTGTGGTGCTCCACGCACAAGTAACACACTCTGGACATGAGCTCAAACGGATGCAGGAAAAGACGTGAGCTAAGCAGGAAGGTGAAGATGTACGACCTCTGAAATAAGGAAAAAGAAACAGAGCGGTAAACACCTTCCCTTAAGCGAGGGAAGTTTATTAATAGCATTTCTATGGAGGTCCAGATGCTTACATCAGGGTAATAGTCCACTGTAGGGACAAGGTGCTGTATAAGAGCCTCAAGTGACCCCGATACGAGGTTGTTGTCATGATAGATGAGACCCCCATAGCTTTCCTCCACTGGTTTGTAGTGAGAGTGACTGCTGCCATAAGGGTTGGGAGTGAACTTGGCTGCAAATGGAGTCGTCTGGGGCATTCTGGTCCTGAGGGAGAAATTAACATCGGTCAATACACACCGGAAGGCCGTCTGGCACCTTCCAGCTCTCAAGTTGCCATAAAGGCCCTTCTCTGTCCTATATATGCTCTTAACTCTCCTAACACTGTTATGGGATTAGAGTAAAGTCCTAACGGACATGTGGCTTTAATGGCAGTTCTCTCTGGCTTACTGATCTTCTCCATCGAGCTGAACCATGTCCAGCTCACTGGCTGAAGATGGAACAGTAAAACAGATCCAAAGGGAGAGAGGACTTTTGATCAAATCCAAATGAGCCACTACAGACCTGTGAGTGAAAAGCATATCCCACTGTATTTACTTGGTTTGAACGTGTACATTATTGCCACATAAATAAGATGACACAACTGACACAACAAGGGGCAAAAGAAAGGAAAAATAATCAAATAATCAAGTAAACTAAAAGGACTATGGTGCAAATAATTATATGTATATAAACCTAGAGGTGGGCAATATGGCAAAATGTCATTTTACGATACTTCCAAAAGTTTACAAAACACAATATGTCTCAACATTTGTTTTTTTCTGACATGTAATAAATTGGAGACAAAGTAGTGTTACACTTAAAAACTACTGTCAAAAACTATGAATCCATTTCCAAACAAATATCTTAATAAGCTCTCTTTCTAATCAAACATGCAGTTGGGAAGCATTTTTTAAGTACTGAAAACTCAAAAAAACTCATTGTGACGCAATTTATCACAATAATGATGAATACTGTCAGCCTTATATGAACCCCTCAAATGTAGGCTTATTATCCAGTTATTAAGACTCAGTACTCAGTAACTACTATGAACTATTTGTAAACTACTATAAAACTGATATTTAAGACTTAATGTGTACATAATTTACACATAAGAAAAACACATTACATCATTATTTTTACCTTATTGTACACACCTAGTTTGATAACATTATTCAAACAAGAGCTACAATAGATTTATATGGCACATTTAACTAATGCTACCTGTCTAGGTAAAGGGGAACTCCACTGATTTTTCCAAAATTCTACATAATTAAATAGTTGAGATGTAAACAAAGTCATTCAGAGTGGTTTGGAGTGAAATGCTGAGTTTTAGACAAACTTACAAAGAATTTTCACAGTGGTGGTGAAAGGAACCAGGTGTCCATGTCTAAAAGCTCCCTCACAGAAACTTATTACATGAAGTGGTTAGACATATGCTGCCTGAAGGTAAAGTTTTGGCTTAAAATGTACTTTTTGTCCATTTATTTTAATCCATTCATGGTGGACGGATACACGCAGGGCGTTGCAAGGCAAAATAGTTCCTGAGGAAAACTCACTTGTTCAGATTTGTGACTACTTTACCATCATCAGCTTCACATATAAAAATTCAGAAGTCGTGTGTAGGTTTGCTAGTGGTTTTGGATATGTTTGAATAAAATGGCTATATTTGTGTTGTAGACATGGTGGCCTGTGGTTCCTATCACTACCACTGTAAAGAAATCAAAGCCTATATGTTTACATCTCAAGGACTGAATTATTCAGAAATTTTGAAACATTTGGTGGTATTCCCTTTTCAAACTGGGTCCACTTTCTTGAAGCACTAACCACACCTTTTCTATTGGTCTACAGTAAATTATTAACCAACACAGTCTCCTTCATGAAGCAATTCCAAGTAGTAAGGCATTTCACCACAAAGCACTTGGGCTAGTGAGGTCATGCTCATCAATCTTTATGGTGAGGCGGTGTTGAGCAAGTCCAACAACATTTAGGAAACAGATAAGTATTACACCTAAGTCCACGTAGACCAACACTGCTTATTTCTAGTATTCAAATGAGTAGTAAAGAGGATAGGCATACAAAAGTGTAGCCTACACACTAAGGCAATGAAATGGAAGTAAAAGGCAAAGAAAGAGGAAAGTAAAAACAAAACCAGTCTAACCACATACAGCCCTTCCTTCCCTCAAACACTACTGACTCATCTGTGTTGGAAATCAATGGTGAGCGTGTGTGAGAAGGAAAAACAGCCCAAGGAGAAAACAACATGGCTGAACTCTTATCAAAACAAGTACCTGAAATTACTTATCGCACCTTACACAGACCTTTCTGTCTATATTAAGGTGTTAAATGAAGAGCGATAAGATAATTACTGAGGGTGGAGGGCTTATCACACACCTTAAACAGAGAAGGCGAGAAGACATTAAAGAAAATAATTAAGGACTATTACTACTGAAGCTGAAGTTAGCTTCTTCTTCACCAGCTACCTATTGGAATTCCCGCTCCACCTTAAATGGTGGAAACAGAATGTTACAGAATGTAACTGCTGCACCATTTAAGGTGGAACGGGAAATTCAAATAAGAAGCCAACTTCAGCCTCGTCCATTACTCGTACTTAAATTATGTCCATATGTTGCAATTAACTTCATATTACGACTTTGTTAATCTTAATTTAAGTCGCGTAGCCAGTTACTGGCTAGTGTCAACAAAACACAAAAAGCAACTTACCGAGAAAAGTAAGCAATGTGCTGACGTGAAAGATCCTGGACAACGAAAAGGGGGAAAACCGTGCAAAAAAAAACAATCCTGGTTTAGATTCGCATCCAGATATAAAGAAAACAGTAATAATTTTCCTTTGTTTTCGGTCTCCGTGCACAAAATACCGTAAAATCGCATACACTTGCAATAAGAAACTTAAACGCGACGCGCAGTAACTTCCATTGTTGGTCCTGTAGGTTAATCCAGTGTGAGACTGCTGGGAGAAACGCGATGGAGCCATTAAGAAGAGACAGGGCAAATAGGCCCCGCCCACAACACAGAAGTAGCGAATCGCCGCTGGAGAACATGAGCGTTGAAATATCCGAGCGACCTTATTGGGCAACTTCGCGTCCATCACCGTTCAAAACACTCCAGTGGCAGTTTGAAACGTCCCAAGAAAAAGGGTGGATTGTTTTTGTACGGACGGGCGATACCACTGAGCGAGGCTAATATCCCGATACCAATACCGATACCAGTACCTTTAAAAGTCTTCCTGCGCCCATAAAAAGAGAAATTATTCGCGAAAACCAGTACATGTGGATATCTAATGTATACAATAGCATTGAACAGTTTGTTCTGAATTTTGAGATCAGTTTTCAGTAAAATAATAACTATTATTATAATATTACTAGGAACCTGTGAAAAAACTATATATTTTAACAGCCTAAAGTGAAATGCTTAAGGGATAAAACCTCTACATTTTATTTATGCAACTGTTAAAGACTGAAGAACTAAAACATAGGGCCTAAAAAAAACATTTATGTGATTTCCCTGAAGAGATTTTACGCAGGAAAACTTAAGGTCAAAGTAAAAAAAAAAAAAATTTACAAGTGATGACTGAGATAACTATATCGTCTAGAATGCCTCATATTTGAATAAAGTCTCAGGCAGAATAACTGAAAAAAACAATCATTTTATTGATAATTTTTAGTGTTGTTCAATAAAAATACCATCTGCTGTCTCGCTCATAGTATTTCAATCTTCACTGTATAAGTTAAGCTACTATTGAATGAAGAAACAGCAAGTATTAAGAAGTAATTCCAAACTGTTAGACGGCAGTGTACATTTGAAAACTAATGTATAATATGAATAAACTGTCTCATAAAGTGACCGTTTTGTGGAGTGATATAACTCCATATAAGCTTCCATTTCTTCCTTTTTAGAGCATTATGAGGGTCAATTCTCGAAAAGAGGCATGGGAAGTATCAGTCCTCCCACACTCACGTTTTTGGCCATCGTTTTTGGCACTAGATCTAATTTTGTTCAGACACTTTGTCCCCTCCTTAGTTTAGTTCTGTACCAATTTCATAAACACAGTACAGTTTCACATGGATGCATTAGAGTCCAATAAGCTGAACCCATCCAATATTGTTTTTACAATGTAATAAACAGTTACTTCCTCACTTGCATTAGTACCCAATCCATTTTGAATCCATCCAATATTGTTATTAGAACATAATAAACAGTTCTTACAGGAACAATGATGTAAAATAAGTTTCTTTCCTAAACATTTAATATCAGGGGTGTTTAACATCACCAATGGCGCCCTGTGAAGATAAATGTTCCTCTTTTGTTCGGCTGAGCTTGATAAATAAGCCATATGCCATGAAAGTATAAAACAATGACAGCACAAACACATCCGAGTCACATGGTCGACCCTTATAAGCAAAGTGATACTGCGCCAAACACACTTTGTTCTGTAGTACTCTGTAACATCGCTGTTGTAAACAGGACACTACAAAATCCCTACACACCCACTTCAGGACCAATGTCAATGGCATCTGAGGGGCTGTAGAGAACATGCTTAGAACAGAGCGCTTGTGTACATAGGTCACTTAAACTTGATGTCCACTTTTGTGCTGTATAAGAGGGCCTTCTGTATAAAGTAGGTGGTTTTTGGTTGTCTGAGTGTTCACTAGCATAAAGTTTTGCAAGCTGCCTCAATGAATAGTATGTTCTATATTAGGGGAAACATCCGTTACAACTTAAAGGGGAAGCCCACCAACTTTTCTAAAAATAATGCTATATTCAACCATTAAGACATAAGCATAAGTCAGAGTGGTGAAATGCTTCGCCGTGTGACAGTGATGGTGAAAGGAACCAGATGTCTGAAGTATTTAATGCCTCTAAAAGCTCCCTCAGAGAGGCTATTGCACAAAAATGGTTATGAATATGCTACCTGACGCCTTTGGTATTGTCTTATAATAGTTTAGCAGTTTGATTTTGTATTATTTTGTATTTTGAAACAAATACTGGATGGAGCGGTATATACAGGGCATTGTAAGGCGAAATAGTACCTAAAGAAAATATACTAAAGGGGAATTTTACTGACTTTTTAAAAATAACTGCAGAAATGACCTAAAGCATTCAGAGTGGTTTGATGTGAAATACTTTGATCTAGAGAAACTCTGTAATGTTCACAAAGGTGTGATAGGAACCAGACGTCTGAAGAGTTCAATGTCACTAAAAGGTCAATCATAGAAAGCCATTACATGAAAGATTGTTTTATTATAGTTTTGAGCATATTCAAATATATATCAAACATATTTTTAAAAATCATTTAATGGCAGGGAGGTACATGGTGAAGAAAAATAGTCCCTCCAAATAACTGTAATCAAATTTGCCACTTTTTTGAACATCATCAACATTACTTATAAAAAATCAGAAGCCATGTGTAGGTTCATTGGTCATTGTGGATAGTAAATAAAATGGATACCCTGGTTCCTATCACCACCACTGTACAGGAAAAAAATATTACAAAGAAATTAATTGTCAGAAATTTTGAAATATTGGTAGAATTCCCCTTTTAACTATTTTACTATTATCAACTTTACATGTTGTGGCTTTTGGAACAAAACCATGTATCTCCATTGTTTTTGTAAAACAAATTGAAAATGCCAGTTGCTCTTTGCATTTTGTCAACAGTTCATGATGAATAAAATCTTTATTATTATTTACCAACTTTCATTCGGACCTAAGAAGTTTTTTGTCTTGTTTTGTAAAGTTTCAATTCTGGAGGTATAAAACTCAGAAGACACATGTAGGTTCACTGGTCATGTTCACAGGTCAAGAAATCCGAGTCTGTATGCTTCTCTACAATGAACTATTTCACATCAAACTATTCTGATTTAATTTACCAACTCAACAATTTAAGTACATAGAAATTTTGAGAAATCAGTAAGATTCCCCTTAAATATATGCAGGTAGAAAAAAAACATGCTGGTCAGCAGCATTTTGTTTTTGCCGTTAACCCTCAGGGCCTGTACGTTGTATACATTGTGGTCTAACTGTTAGTGCTATCAGCAGGACCATGCTGGTAGATCAGACTGACCAGCACTAATCAGCATCAGACCAGCACTGACCAGCATGAACCAGCAAGGTTAATAGTCATCGTTTTCACACCCTCCCAATGTAACTGCAGTGTTCCTTCAAGAAGCCGTAGGAGTGGTCAGCATCATGTGGCGTTGGAATAGTGGGAGTTTTCAATTACATAAACAGTGGAGCGTGTAAACATCGTGGAGGCTTGGTGAGTGATGCTGACACATAGTCAGTGGGCGGACTGCATTTCAGGCCAGAGCGCTCTTCAGCTCTCGCACAAGAATAATTCTCCCCTAAAGAGGCTGTTATTGAACAACGTGGATCGCCCACATCAGCCAAGAGCACCTGAGTGATGGTAGGTGCTTCCGGTTGGGCTCGAGCTCACTTATAGTCCTTGTAGCTGAACTTGGGGCGGATCCCACCCACGGCCCACGGCCTCCAGGCCCTGTGAAGTGCTGCCGGAATAGAAGCTCTGCTCTCGCTCCTCAGCAGTAAACACCACGCTTCTCCTGCTGAACACCCACACACGCTGCAGTCACCCAGGCGGAACCCCACGGGGAATCCAATCTCTTATATCTCCATGTGATGGTGTTCTGCTACCCAAGGTTGCGTAATGCAGCTAAATCTTAGTGTATACACTTGCAGGGATGCTTTTAGCCTATTTTGGGTGAAAGTTTAACTGATGCTCCTCTCTGTCACACAACTTCTGTCTGTCTTGTCTTATTACCTGAGATGTTACAAACCTCCCTGCCAACTTTTATATCTCAGGCACACTCAGGGCTACATTCTTATAAATAAAATATGCTCCCTAAAGAGCTTTTCTTTGGATGGTTCTTAAAATATGTTGTGAAAAAGTATTTTCACTGTCAAAGTATTGTAAGATGTAATAGTTAATACCCATTTCTTGAAACAAAAGAAAAAATAAACCATACATACTGTATTTCAACTGCTGTTTGTTAATGTATGGAAATAGAATGTAAATTTACAAAAAACAAGTGATCACTTTTGTGTTTGTTTTATTGCTTGTTACTGTTATTATTATGGTAAAATACTGTATGTCAGAACTAGCTGAGTTGAGTAGAGTGACACAGTTGAATTACAGTAAAAGGCAGCACTTCTCATAAATACTGACTGTAATTTTACAGATGTTTACCATCATTGAGACTTTTTACAGTGTACATTTTTGTAAATAAGATGTACTAGTGTGAACAATCATAGCTTTAAGAACTTTCACGTAATGTTAAGGTTCTTTAACGAGTCCCAGAACTGTACGTTCAAGCCAAGGACAATTCACAAATACGTATTCTTGAAGGGGCCTTCCAGCCTAAAATTACACTGAAAAAAATGTTGAATTTGTAAGATTCAAATGTATACATTGGTCCCACGCAAATATGTTACATCAACTCAAGTGAGTTAATTAAGTTTGTGCACATAATAATTATGTTGATGTAACATTTTTCATTCGTACTGAGCCAATATACAGATTTGAATCACATAAATGTAAAGCAAACTTTGAGCAACTTTTCTTCAGTGTAGTGTTTATTATATTGTTTGTTGTGTTATTGCAGTACATTGTGTTCCTCAGCCTCATCATCATGTTGTTTATGCACTGCAAAAATTCCTCATTAGATCAATCTAAAAAATTACTTCATGCAGTAGTGAGCAATTGAACTAGTTCAATTTAATCATTGAAAATTGAATGTAGTTAATTTACTTGTTACCACATGAAGTCATTTTTTAGGTTGATCTGACGAGCAATTTTTTACCCTGTATATGCTTTACTTCATCAATGTTCTCCCACTCCAATACCCAGCATACATTGTTCAAATACATCAGGCAATTATTGGGAATCTCTTTGGTGTCAACCAATTTTGACTGCCTAGCCACTGATCTATAGATTAATAAA